TGCGCACGAGGAGGACTCGAGCCCGGATCTCTCGACCGGCAGTCTAATGATTTGACCACTCGGACATTGCGACTCTTTGAGCGGCGCGGGCAAAAGGCATGCATAAACGCTATCAGTTGACTGTCTGTGTTTGTATTCACCACACATTTTTGGCGAACTTTTGTGACTCTCCTACTGAATACCCAAATCATCTCAAGTCACAAAAATAGTCACTAATTGCTAGTCTCAAATTTAGTGACTTGAGATTACTGAATCCCAGGGTTTAATTTGTATATGAAAATTGAAGTCGGTTTTGTTTTTTGCTTAAAAATTACTTGTTATGATACATAAGGCCACAAGAATTTACGTAAATTTAAAGATTCAACAACCTGATGAGAGCCATAAGCTGGAATATCAGCTAAAGTCCTGCAATTTAGATCTTTCCAACCGGACGAAGGGTATAGCGGAGCAGAGATTTCGTTGAGTCCCGTTTTTTCGGCGAGGTGGATAAGACCAAAGCCAAAATAATGGAAGGGGAAAGCATCCAAATCCATTGGTCCAAACGAAATTCTCGTTTGGTGCTAAAAAAGTCCGTTGTGTTTCAGAACGGATTGAACGGCGGTCTCCTCTCCAAAACGCCGAACCGTATTGCGCTCCCTTATATGACAGCGGTAAGCATGTCACAAGGTCATATAGTCTTCTTAGCTTCCTTTCTAAGGGATAGGTGCATGCCGTTTTTGGAGTCTTCTTCAAAATGGCAGATACGTTTTTCTATGAAGACTGGTTTGCCTTTTCAGTGGGCGTGTCAAAAGCTTTGGAAATAATAACTTTCTGTGGGTTAAAATTTTAGTGGATACATTTATTAATGCAGCCGCATCTCGCTGTGAAGAGCCGCTGTAGACTTCAATGAGAAATGTATTATAGTCGAGCAATTGTAATCGCATACCAGGAATCGACGATAATTCGATATTGGCGTACGGCATTTAAGAGCTCCTTCGAAAAAACACGTAACTGTTCTGTACAGGTAACAAAAATTTAGTAACCGGTAAATAAAGTTCCTGCAAATTTTTAAATCCTTTTCGCATTCTGTACTCTTGTAACTGGTAAATTTTGTTACCATCTCATAAGCTGGGCTCAAATCGTAACAGCCGTGAACGAGCAACGTCGCGTAAAATTGCATATTTCGGATTATAACAGTCGTGAACGTACTGCTCGTCTCGTAATTCCGAATACTGCATTACTAACGTACCTAGAATCGCGATGGCAAGAAGTGGTAACGTTTTTTGGTTGTTGTTGTTGTTGTAGCGGCTACCAAGCCTCGCTCAGGTCGGTTCATCCGTCAACGTTGTCGTCTGTTTCAGCTAAGGGGAGGTCCAGGAAGAGTGCGACTTCAACAGGGTCTGTCCATAAGGACAGGGGCGTCAGCTGGGTGGGGTTCTCAGGGCATGTGAAGAGGTGCCGAGAGTCATGTGGCGACTCTGCACATGCCGGGCATTGGTTGGGCACATCCTCATTAATTCTGCTCAGGTATGAGAGCATCTGGGCCTCGTCGTGTAGGTGGTGTTGGGGCGTCATCAGTAGGCATCCGGTCGCTGTCCGTAGTGCCGTGTTCTGGCAAGTCTGTAGCTTCAACCACTGCGTCCTGCCTGTCCCAGGTGACCACACGGGCGCTGCATAGTTTAGGACCGGCTTTGCCCAAAGTGCTGCTGGCCAGCGACTTAGGACCTTTTTGCGGCTCTGTACTTTGTTGACAATTTTATGCGCCGAGAAGGAGAGCAGACTGTCGAAGGTGACTCCGAGGATTTTCGGGTTATTCACCGTCGGTATTGTTACGCCATCAACGTGAATAGCCAGTTGCAGTCTGGCCTCCTTCGTCCAGGTGGTGAAGGTTGCCGAGGATTTCGCAGGGGATAGGGCAAGGCTCCTTGCAGTGAAGTAGGGAGAAAGTTCGGCGAGATAACCGTTTATTTTCGACCACAAGTCATCAATTCCCTTCCCAGACGCCATGATCGAACAATCGTCAGCATAACAGACAATATTGACACCTTCTGGTGGTTGAAGGAGCTTTGAGGTATAATAATTAAACAGTAATGGGGACAGGACACAACCCTGTGGTACCCTCTGTTTAATTTTTCGTAGCTTGCTGGTTTTGTCTCTAAAAACTACTGACGAGTGTCGGAACACTCAGGTAACTCGTCGACCACCGTTTGAGTCCCTGTGGGAGTGAGGAGGCATCTATGTCTTCTAGCAGCATTGAATGACTGACAGTGTCGAACGCCTTGGACAGATCCAACGCAACTAGAATAGTTCTCTCAAAGGGGCGGTTTCGGTTAAGGCCACGAGTTATCTGAGTGTTTATGGCGTTCAGTGCTGTTGTTCTGCTGTGCACTTTACGGAACCCATGCTGATGCTTCGCTGGGGTCAGGTGGTTCGTGAAATACGGGAGTAGCAAGGCCTCTAGTGGCTTCACTACCGCAGAAAGGGGGGTTATCGGGCGATAAGGCTTCTGTGATGGCTGGTTTCCCCGGTTTGAGCAGTGGGACCACTCTCCCCATCTTACAGATGTCTGGAATGACGAGAGTGGCCATTGACAAATTGAGGATCTCCGTTAGTTACGCTACTCCAGCAGGACCCAAATTTTTCAGCATCAGCATGCTTATTCCGTCGGGTCCAATAGCTTTGGAGGCTTTCGCCTTCCCGATGGCTACCCTTACCTTACCGCTGATGAAAACAAGAGGCGCGCTGGGTTTTGGCATTTTGTGCAGCCTTCTGGCCACTCGACGTTTGGCTTTATCTACCGGAGAATGCCGAATTAACTGCCGGCTAAAATAGCTCGCGCATCTCTCCGGGTCCGACAAAGCGAGGCCACGAAAGTTCAACTCTGTCGTCACGCTTCGCCGGGTTGCACAATGACTTCACGGTTGACCAAATCTTACTCACACCAGAGGCGAAGTTGCAGGTCTTCAGATGCTCTTCCCATTTCTTCCGCTTATGTAGGTTCACAAAGTGCCGAATCTCCGAATTGAGATCCCTGATCGGCCTGACGAAGGTTGTCACGCTCATCGGCTAGAACAGCCGCTTCAGCAGGAAAGTTCGGACGCGAATTCGTAATACATCCTGCTGGGATGAAGCGAGCTGCAGCAGCCGTGATAACCCTGCGAAATTTACGTTCACCTATGCGAACGTCGGTTCCCAGCAAACACAGTCTCTAACGTTACAGAAATTTGGATTTCTACATTAGATAACTAGGGTAATTATCTAATCGTTCTCGAGTCGGTGACGAAGTTAGATAATTATATTAGAATTCGATTCGAGAACGGTTAGAGCAACAACGCAAATTCAAATAAATGTAAATTAGCAATATTCCAAATGAATTACTCATAAATTATTTTTAAGTTCAAATAATTCATTATTATTTTATTGCAAATACATTTAATACAAATTTTACAAATAAAGCAAGGCAAAACAGCAGTTTGGAATTCACACTCGCATCCCATTAGCGATCAACATTGGAATACGATTAGAGAATCAATATTTTCTCGAGTCGAGAACTATGTCCCATTTTTGGTGAGATCGCTATGATTCTCGATAGTTTTTCGAGTCGTTCTCTAACGTTTGAGAGTCCTCCAATCATTCTCTAATCGATAACTAACCTCAAGGTTTGCCGGGTTGGTATGGGTAGTGCAGTGAAGGCACTTTCAGTAACATCGAAGCCTTTCCAGTCAGCTTTGGAAAAGTTGACATAGGTCCGGTGGTCCGCGGAAGCAAGGTCGGCAGGTTTATCAATCGAGATGACTAGGGGCAGATGGTCTGGTGCTAGGCGCCATGATACGCTGTTTATCAGACCAGCGCTGACAATTGTTAGATCTGACGAGCCCATAATCGTGGTGGGTGCGTCGTCGTTCATTGTGCAGAATGTCGAATCGTCTATCTGCTCAGCCAGATGTATTCCCCTACAATCATTTGACAGGCTTGAGTGCCAAAGATCGTAACGTATAGAATAACGTTGACAACGCCTAGCGCTGCTTGTTTAATGTCTGGTTGTCACTATATCAATTATATGATATTTTATAAGTAAATATATTTGGTTTAAATCTTAAGTTTTTATATGTTGAAAGTTTATTATTGAGTGTGTGAATCGGTAACAAAGTGCTATGGGGAAAGCTGTTGAATAATATTTTTACTATGGTGAGACAGTTTTGCCAATCTGCTGTGTGAAATGAAATCTTTTTTGACAGCAGTAAATTTTTGATAACCGCAGATTTAGTCGGAATAAAGTATTGCAAATTGAAGTGAAATTAATAGTTTAAGAAAACATCTACCATCACTGATAGCATTTCATCAATTCAAGCTTTTGTTTTACGAAAAATTACACACAGCAACAATCTTTGCGATTGTCAAAATTTTCTATGCATTTGTCAAAAATTTCACTAGCCTCATCAGCTACTGAAATTTTATTCACCTCATAGTTGTCAAAAATTTACTTGTCGCAAACTTTGTTACCGATTCACACACACCCTGAATAATCAAAAATTTTCTTTTTGATAACAAATTCATTGAACCATAAATTGATCATCAAGAATTTAAACAAGTATAAAAACATATAGGTAAAATACCCTACAGTCACTACCTCTCACTTAAGAATCATAATCAACGTTTTCGGAGTCATTCATATAACTTGTGATCGATAAAGCAGTCGTATTTAACCGACGCTTTTACCTCCGGTTTGTGTTAACCGAACATAGAACCAACGGCCCTCAATGAACTCGCTGGTCAAAGCCTCTTCTCACTTTAACGTTTTTTGAATCTCTTTTTTTTTAACTATTTTAACTTACGTATTTAATTTAATTTTTACTAAAGGAAATTTGCATATACTTTCCCCTGTATAGGTCTCGGCGTTTATGAGTATCGATTATGCGCTCATAGGAAATAACGCTAGCGTTCTAATCTCACCATTTTCAAAACATGGCTCATTAATAACGGTTTGTAATAAAATTAAAAAGCATACATTGAGGAATGTAGATGAATACGTCGTCATGTTGTTAGCTTGTGAACTACTCAGCATCATTGATCATCTACACTCAATTAATATAATACATGCAGACATTAAAGCAGATAATTTTATATTGATGAAGAAGTAAGTTTTGCTTGATTTTAACTGTACAGATAGTCCATTGATGTTCGTTGCTTAAATACTTCTTTATTTTGCGACTTTCAGTTTAGATTACCGCAGTAGTCAGTATTCTTTACAACTAATCGACTTTGGCGTATCAATAGATATGAAATTATTTGAGCGCGGGCAGACCTTCAATTACGTCCACAATGAAAATGCCTTCAAGTGTGTGGAAATGCGTGAAGGACGCCCGTGGACGTACCAATTGGACTTATATGGCTTGGCAGGTGTCATTCACGTCATGCTCTTCGGTAAATTCATGGATATTGCACAACGTGCCAATGGCATCTGGATGCATAAGACGCATGTGCCACGCTACATTAATCGCAACCTATGGGATTCAATATTTCAGTCTCTACTAAATATACGGGACTGTGGGTCGATGCCAAATTTGCAAAATCTGCGTGCACTTATTAAGGAAGACATAGCGGAGAAGGAAAAGTTCGTACTGAGGAAGGTGGCCGAGTTCAATGCAGCGTTAAGTGCTTGAAACTACGAAAATTTATTGATTTCCCAATGAAATATGCAGCAAGTAATTTTGTATTTCACATAATAAATTATAAGATTTTACTATACACAATTTTTCACGCTGCAGTTTTCGCATCTCCTCAGCATTAAAGCTAGTGCATTTGAGCGATTCAACTTTGTTTGATGAGCCTGATTGCGTGTATTCAATATTTTCTTTTCAGCAGCGCACATCAAACGGTCTTTGATATAGCGGTCCATTTCAAAGTCGGCCTCTTGTGGTACAATCTCATCCGGATGCTTAGTGGAGGCTGAATCAAGTGCTTTTATGATAAGACTCAGCAAGGCATGTGCCAATTTGTGACACACTTCGTACTCCATCGCTTCGGGTGTGGTGTAATAAATGGCATTTTGGTTAGTGGGTTGTACTCCGATGGCCAACAGAATATTGCAGAATATGCCGCGTTGCATACGCGAATAAGGCTCAACCAGCTGTGGTGGTATCTGCATTGTGGTAGCCAACTTCGCAATGAAGTTTGAAAATTTCTTAATCAACACGTTTAGATATTGCGTGCGACATTGGCGTTCCAGCTTGGTGAGCATCTCATAGTAAAGCTCCTGTTTGCGTTTGTGGAGATCCTCTAGTTTACGCTCCTTACATTTTTGATTCTTAATAATCTGTTCTAATTGTCTTAAAAATATCGCAGAAGAGTTAAGTAGAGAATTTATATGATTTGCATATTGATTATTATAGCTTTTATAAAAATAATACTAGTAATACAACTCATATTCTTTACTTACTCCGTAGATATTGCATTATATTTACGCGCTAATCGTTTGACACGCTGGCGTCTCTCCTTGGGCGTCAACACTTTTCCATACCCAACATAACTGTCAACAATGTGGCGTTTCTGCGTTGCGGCAATTTGATCGGTACGCGGCCGAACACTGAGCGGCGGTGAGGGTTTATATGCCATGCGCGCCACATAGGTTTTTAGTTTTACCATATTTTCGTGCTCTTCTTTCTTGTCCTCCAACATTTCTTCTTCCTCGGGTTCAATTGTGGACGAAGAAGGTAAAGGCTCATCCCAATCATCAACTCCTTCGCTAGCCATGGTTATATTTCACCGCCAAGATGTTAGAACAACAAATTTTTTTAACTGAAAAATTTGTAAAATGCTTGTATGCCCACAAAATTCTACCCACAGGCAAACAGTTTTAAAATTTTCTGAAAAATTTATTTCAATGTTTGTTAAATTTTATGCATAGCCAACTTTCAGGCACTTCAAATATTTCAGCTGGATTTGGCGAGTAGCTTTGCTTGTACGGAACGTGCCAAGTGTCCTGAACTTGATGTGCGCAAAGTACATGGCGTGTTGGTTCCTGCAATTATAGGTTTGCAATTATTGAAGCTGCACAGTTAAATCTTCATTCTATTGCCACATTTTGCCCATTTTTTACCTTCACTATGATCTTTCCATTCTCGATTTGTGTAATTAACGCATATTGATGCTCCAGCTGCCAGCGCCGAAAGATTGTACGCAACTCGCTTCCTAGTAAAAATGCATGCGAGCGCATTAGGTCACGCGAGAAAAAGTCGGTTGTCTGACCGCTTTTTAAAGTGGCGTACAAAAGAAAAGGATCGTCATGAGAACTATTTTTTGTATCCAAATGTAAGATTATTACTTAACTCAAATGCATTTCCAAAACTACTCACAGATTATTCGTTAGGAATAGGCTTGCATTTTTTCGTATATAAAGCATTGCATCTTTAGGCCAGCTATTCATATGCTTGCGACCCAGTACGAGTACATGCTTACGTTGATTTTTGAAATGTTTTACTACATTAGCTAGCTAAAGTACAAATATAAATATGTATGTAGTTAATAAATTTAAAAACACCAAAAACAAAGCTTACCAATGAGGCTAGTACTTTTGGCGGTTTTTTTGCACCCATTGAGTAGGCCACGTTTAGTCCGTCGATAACACAATCGTATGGCGCTGTTTGCGTAACAAAGCGCTTGAAACTTTCTACCTCCTCGGGTGTTGATTTCTGGAAGATATCGTTGCGTATGAGTACCTTATTTAAAAAGGAATTACTCAACTTGGCGTACTCTGCATCGCTAATGGCAATATTCCTCATTCGCAGGCTACAAATGCCACACTTTCCTTTTTTGTCTATTTGGGAGCATTTGGCAGTAAGTTCTTTAGGATTTATGTTTTCTGTTACATATTGCGCCACTTTGGCGGTTATAATAAGCTCGTGTTTCTCCAGGAACCATAACAATTTCTCAAAATTATTTTCAAAGTTTGCTTGTACCTTGGCTATATGATGCAAATATGCTAAATACGATTCGCATTTAGGTTCCTTTCGCTGCATTACAGTTTCCTCGAGTAGGTGCCAACCAGTTTCTAAATCTCCCTTTGTAAAAGCCTTTATCGTTAGCTCAGTGTAAGCAGCGGTACTTGGCGTAGCTGTTTGCCGCGTCATACGTAGAAGTTCTACACCGGCGCGCCAATCATTTGTACATACCAATCCATATATTAAATTTTCACACGTTGTGGCATCTAAGATTTCATAACGCTCTCGTAGCTGGGAATAAATATCTAAAATATACTGCTGTTCATCCGCGGTTAGTGCTGTATCATTTCCGCCTCTCGTATGGTATGCAGCATTGTAAATCCGCAATAGACGTCCTATTGTTGCCATGTTAGGTTCCAATCCACATCCACGTAAATACCGCACGTAGTTTTTAGCCAGTGAGAGTTGATCTGCCCCGCCGCACAAACCAAGTATTATGGCATCTACATTGTTGATATTTATGTGCTTGTACTTGGAAATCAAATTATTTCGCAAGTCCTCCCATTCGCAGGCCTTTAGTTCGCTTCTTTGCTGAAACAATTCTGTTTTAAAGCTCTGCAAGTGGTCTGAATGTGGAACACTCAACTGGGTGCGTTTGTAGGAACTAGCTTTCCTTGATAAGGTATTGACATCTTCTAGAACGGCAGATAATCGAAATAAGATTGCACTCTTACGGCATATTTTAAAATAAAACATTGTATTTAAATAAATAACCAGCTACTAAAATATAGAACTGTCAGGGTATGAAAATGAAGGAAATAGAATTAGAAACTATCGATGGCACTATGGTTTTTGACTATCGAATACATCGATGGTTTTGTAAACACTATCGATAGTTTTCACTAAGCATACAGGCGCGTATTCATAGTCCAGCAACTAAGTCGAAACTAACAAAGTTGCAACTTAAATTTAAGTACCAACTTAAAATTTACTTCTATTCATAGGCGCGTATTCATAGTCCAGCAACTAAGTCGAAACTAACAAAGTTGCAACTTAAATTTAAGTACCAACTTAAAATTTACTTCTATTCATGGTCGCATTTCAGACTTCCACTAAGTAGTTTCGACTTAGTTTACGATATAGCAAAACGAGTGTGAAAATGTATCGATTTTTCTTTACGATATTTTGGAAAAA